TAGAGAATTGTGAGAGATGTATCAGAAGTAAAACACCTGTCAGACCAAGAGCCAATCTTCATCCCATTACTTCAACAAAACCACTAGAAATTCTTTGTATTGATTTTTTGTCCTTAGAGAAATGTAAAGGGGGGTTTGAAAATATCCTTGTTATTACAGATCACTTCACCAGATACGCCTGTGCAGTTCCATTGAAAAACCAGTTAGCAACTACAACAGCTAAAGCTTTATATGAAAATTTTATTGTCCATTACAGTTTTCCAGATCAACTCCATAGCGACCAAGGAAGAAATTTCGAAAGCAAAGTCATCAAAGAATTCTGCAAGATAGCTAACATCAAGAAATCAAGAACAACGCCATACCATCCTGAAGGCAACGGATCAGTAGAAAGATTTAACCAAACCCTGATTAAAATGCTGAGTACACTAGAAGAAAGCCAGAAAGCAGATTGGAAATCTTATGTTACAACATTAGTACATGCCTACAATTCAGTCAAGAATGATGCCACTGGGTATTCTCCACATTTCTTAATGTTCGGATGGCACCCACGCCTGTCACTAGATGCATTCTTAGGAATCAAACCAGGAAATCAGAATGTAGGAGCAAAAGATCACCAATCATATGTACATAAACTTCAAGAAAGATTACAGTATTCTTATAAAGTTGCCGCAGAAGAATCAAAGAAAAATGCAGATAAAAATAAAGAAAATTTTGATAGGAAAGTTAGAAATTCTAAGTTAGAAATTGGGGATAGAGTTTTAGTCAGAAAAGTAGGTTTCAAAGAAAAACATAAACTTGCAGACAAGTGGGATGAATATGTTTACGTTATTTTAGGTATCCCAAATGAAGACGTCCCAGTTTATGTTGTAAGGCGTGAGGACGGGAAAGGGTCTACCCGTACCCTCCACAGAAATTTTCTTTTGCCTTTTAATTGTATTCCTACTAATGTTGTTTCTTCTCCAGTTTCTAAACAGGTAAAAAAGAATCAGAGTCATCAGACCATACCCACTATTCCTTCAGATGATTCATCTCAGGATCGTCAGATGAGAGCGATAGCGGAGTACCAGTATACATCATACCACAGCGTCGTCATCGACAAAGCCCTCAATCCTCTCCTCGACAGTCAACTATGAACCATTCGTCTCTTCGACAGTCATCAAACCATTCTTCTTTACATGAATCTACTTCACCATCTTCTTTTTCTAGATCTTCATTTTCAGTGAATTCGCCAAGTATTAGTACTCCACCTCCCAGAAGATCGACTAGAGTTAGTAAACAGCCAGAGAGATATGGGGAGTGGCAGTATGTCCAGGATGTCAGCCAGAAATGTGTTTATTTAGAGACATTGGTGTAGAGCCAGCAGAGATGTGATTAGTTATAGACACTTTTGTAGTTTGTCTGTGTGTCAGTGTGTTTTCATAGTTGCAGATATTTTCATCTGTTATACTTCTAATTATTTTTTTTATTATGTGTATATACTTACAGGTATGACTTATATATTATATGATGACAACAATGAAGTTTGTTCTTCATCAGTATTACTACTGATGTATGATAACTTATATTTTTTATTACCACTTGACCCATGCCCTGTTACCCTTGGCTAGGTTATAAGGTAATGTCAGGAGCCATTTTCTCCTGGCAGGGGGAATATGTAGCCAGGTGTTGGATGTTGGATCCACCTATTTGTGTTTGGTTAGTTCATTGTTTGTCTATCTTCGTTGTCATTCGCTGTCGGTGTCACGTGATTTAGTATGATAGAGAGAAAGGGGTGTATGAGAGAGAGAGTGAGTTGTATTCACTAACAAAACCTGTTTTAAATTACCTGTCCGCCTATACCCATACCCATGCACACCGTCAAGGTAGAAGCACCAATTAATGAATGTATAACGTATAGGGTGATGTAGACTGGTAAGCTTTTATCTATATTTATAATTTCCAGTTATATATAGATTTAAGTAATTTAAATGTAAAGATAATGTAAGATTTGTAAAACGTATTTTTAAAGTTAGTGAATTGTGTGTAAAGAATGAATGCTTAGTATTTTGTATGAATGTTGTAGGTTTATTTCCATACATATAAATTATCAAAACCCAAGAATATTGTTACTGATCTCTACCGACGGGTTACACAAAGAATAAATGCATTTTCACTATATAACCAATAGAGCCCCGCCCTAACACCAGAACCCCTGACCCTGGGGTCATAAAATTCACAATTTTGGTAGATGCACTCTTGCTCATTATAACTATATACTTAGTTAGTTTATTTGATACCCAGAAGTAGAGAAGAAGATTTCAAAGAATAAATGCATTTTCACTATATAACCAATAGAGCCCCACCCTAACACCAGACCCCTGACCCTGGGGTCATAGAATTCACAATTTTGGTAGAGGCACTCTTGCTCATCATAACTATGTGCTTGGTAAGTTCATTTAATACCCAGAAGTAGAGAAGAAGATTTTCAAAGAATAAATGCATTTTCACTATATAACCAATAGAGCCCCGCCCTAACACCTGAACCCCTGACCCTGGGGTCATAAAATTCACAATTTTGGTAGAGGCACTCTTGCTCATCATAACTTTGTGCTTGGTAAGTTCATTTAATACCCAGAAGTAGAGAAGAAGATTTTCAAAGAATAAATGCATTTTCACTATATGATCAAAAGAGCCCCGCCCTAACACCAGAACCCCTGACCCTGGGGTCATAAAATTCACAAACTTGCTCATTATAACTATATACTTAGTGAGTGTATTAGATACCCAGAAGTAGAGAAGAAGATTTTCAAAGAATAAATGCATTTTCACTATATAACCAATAGAGCCCAGCCCTAACACCAGAACCCCTGACCCTGGGGTCATAAAATTCACAATTTTGGTAGAGGCACTCTTGCTCATCATAACTATGTGCTTGGTTAGTTTATTTAATACCCAGGAGCAGAGAAGAAGATTTTCAAAGAAATCATGCATTTTCATTATATAATCTATATATAGCCCCACCCTAGCACTAGAACCCCTGACCCTGGGGCCATGAATTTCACAATTTTGGTAGAGGACTCAATGCTCATTACATTCATGCCAACAGTTTGCCTGCTTGATGTCCAGGAATAAAGAAGAAGATTTTCAAAGAATGCACTAATTTTAGTGGTTTTGGCCCCACCCCTCAGGCCCCAGGGGGGCGGGGACCATAAAATTCACAATTTTTGTTCCCCTTCACCCATAGATACTGTATACCAAATTTGGTTGAAATTGGTTCAGTGGTTTCAGAGAAGAAGCTGAAAATGTTCAAATGTTAACACACGACGCACGACACACGACGACGGACGAAAACGGATAGCAATAGGTCACCTGAGTAACTCAGGTGACCTAAAAATAGATTTGCTAAAAGAGATATGTCATATATTACAATAACACGTTTGAAATCACATGACTTTGTTGATCACTTGATGGACAGTTCTAAAAACTTTCTAGGCACTGCACAAAAATCACAACAGTTGCAAGTGAAATTATTGTGCGCTTTTTGTTGCATTAATAATTTAAGATTTTTAAGTCAACCTTTGGTGCATTGTTTTTCTCAGTAACTGACCCGATTTGTAAGCAGACGATATAATGGTCTCTACGTCCTCCGCGAATCCCATGTCCAGCATTCTGTCCACCTCGTCCAGCACCACGTGTCGTACCCGGCTAAAGTCCAGGTTACCCCGCTCTATGTGATCCTTGATACGACCAGGTGTCCCCACAAGGACGTCTATTCCTGAGTTGATGGCCCTCACTGGTAATGTAGGATAACAATGTTAATTCAGACAAAGAGAACAATTCTACATACATGACACAAAATTTTGTTTGATAACTGTTAACAGTTTCTAAGTATCACTGATAAATGACAACACCAATATTTGAAGTCTTTGAAGTTAAGAAAGACAGTAAAAATATACTTTCTCTACAGAGTAAGTATTCTTAGCAAGAACATTGCATCTGATTGCATCAATGCATACAATGAACAGACCACTTCTATCATGGTGGAGTATGCTCACTTTGTTTTTCATATGGCGTTCCACCATAGAAGCATGCAACATTCAGCCCTTCACCAATTGATTCAAACACATCCGAGACCTGTTTGGCCAGTTCCCTTGTGGGCACCATGACAATGACCTAGAAAATGGACAAATTGTCAGTACGTCAAACATTTTAAACTGAGAGTCTAGGTTACTGAGGCAGTGGAATGAATGAAAAACATGCCTTTGGACAGTTTCGTATTCTCTGTGTTCTCTTCTTCTGTAAGACTTCTACAAGAGGCAGTGCAAAGGACAGCTAGAACGAGAGATACATAAATCAAGACCTTAGAAATATTTCCTCCTCATTAAAATTATTCAAAAACAAGAGGCCCATGGGCCTTATAGGTCACCTGAGCATTATGCAACAACTTTCCAGTGATTGAATTTGATTCATATTTTAAGCCAGATGCTATGGCATTCACAATTTTGAAAGAGCTGGAAGTCCATTGGTCATCATAACTATACACTTAGCAGTTGCTTAGTTTGGTTACTTAATACCCATAGGCAGGGTAGGGGAACAAAAAATGCATTTCAACTAATCAGTAATATTCAGCAATAATCAGTAGTGTCCCTACCACACATGAACCCCTGACCCTTAGGCCTAGATCCACACATTGAACAATTTTTGTACAGTCATTCTTGCTTTTCAAAAATATTTGATTAATACCAAGGAGCAGGTTTCAAACAATTCATCATATATTATATTTTCAGTATATACATATAGCCCCCCTCTATGGAACCCCTGACCCTGGGGCCTTGAAAATTCACAATTCTGGAAGATTATCATAACTATATAGGTAGTTCATCTGCTTAATACCCAGGAGCAAAGAAGAAAATTTTCAAAGATTTAATGTATTTGCACTATATAATCAATAGAGCCCCGCCCTAACACCGGAATCCCTGACCCTGGGGCCATAAAATTTATAATTTTCAAAGAGGCATTCTTGCTCATCATAACTATATAGGTAGTTCATCTGCTTAATACCCAGGAGCAAAGAAGAAATTTTTCAAAGATTTAATGTATTTTTACTATATAATCAATAGAGCCCCGCCCTAACACCAGAATCCCTGACCCTGGGGCCATAAAATTCACAATTTTGGTAGAGGCACTCTTGTTCATCATAACTATGCATTTAATTAGTTTATTTAATACCCAGGAGCAGAGAAGAAGATTTTCAAGGAATTCATATTATTTCACAATATAATCAATAGAGCCCCCCCCCCCTTAACACCAGAACCTCTGACCCTGGGGCCATAAAATTCACAATTTTGGTAGAGGCACTCTTGCTCATCATAACTATGCACTTAGTAAGTTTATTTAATACCCAGGAGCAGAGAAGAAGATTTTCAAAGAATTCATGTATATTCACTATATAATCAATAGAGCCCTGCCCTAACACCAGAATCCCTGACCCTAGGGCCATAAAATTCACAATTTTGGTAGAGGCACTCTTGCACATCATAACTATGCATTAAGTTAGTTTATTTTATACCTTGGAGCAGAGAAGAAGATTTTCAAAGAAATCATGTATTTTCACTATATAATCAATAGAGCCCCGTCCTAAATCCAGAACCCCTGACCCTGGGGCCATAAAATTCACAATTTTGGTAGAGGCACTCTTGCTCATCATAACTATGTACTTAGTTGGTTTATTTAATGCCCAGGAGCAAAGGAGAAGATTTTCAAGGAATTCATGTTATTTCACTATATAATCAATAGAGCCCCCCCCCTTAACACCAGAATCCCTGACCCTGGGGCCATAAAATTCACAATTTTAGTAGAGGCACTCTTGCTCATCATAACTATGCACTTAGTAAGTCTATTTAATACCCAGGAGCAGAGAAGAAGATTTTCAAAGAATTCATGTATATTCACTATACAATCAATAGAGCCCTGCCCTAACACCAGAATCCCTGACCCTGGGGCCATAAAATTCACAATTTTGGTAGAGGCACTCTTGCACATCATAACTATGCACTAAGTTAGTTTATTTTATACCTCGGAGCTGAGAAGAAGATTTTCAAAGAAATCATGTATTTTCACTATATAATCAATACAGACCCGCCCTAAATCCAGAACCCCTGACCCTGGGGCCATAAAATTCACAATTTTGGTAGAGGCACTCTTGCTCATCATAACTATGTACTTAGTTGGTTTATTTAATGCCCAGGAGCAAAGAAGAAGATTTTCAAAGAAATAATGCATTTTCACTATATAACCTGTTTAGCCCCGCCCTAGCCCTAGAACCCCTGACCCCAGGGCCATCAATTTCACAATTTTGGTAGAGGACTCAATGCTGATTACAATCATGCAAACAGTTTGACTGCTTGATGTCCAGGAGTAAAGAAGAAGATTTTTAAAGATTGCATTAATTTTAGTGGTTTTGGCCCCACCCCTCAGGCCCCAGGGGGGCAGGGATCGTGAAATTCACAAATTCTGTTCCCCTTCACCCACAGATGCTTTGTGCCAAATTTGGTTGAAATTGGTTCAGTGGTTGCAGAGAAGAAGCTGAAAATGTTCAAATGTTAACGCACGACGCACAACGCACAACGCACGACGCACGACGCACGACGACGGACGAAAACAGATAGCAATAGGTCACCTGAGTTTACTCAGGTGACCTAAAAATCCAGTTAATCTTTTCATTTCCATAGAAATAGATACCATTGTGTGACTTGAAACATAAATGATAATATTCTGCATACAGCTTCCAGTTAAAACTGTGAAAATTATAAATCGTAAATATTTTTTGAATCTTACCACATTTTATTTTTACATGAATGTATTTTTAAAAACTCCTCCTAAACAAAGACTTTTTTTTGATTACCATTACTGTACTATATTATCTTTGATATTAATTTAAACTCACTGTTTTTCCTGTGCCAGTACCTGCAATGATTTATAAAATAAATTGTGTCAATTCCTTAAATTCTTAATTAAAATATTTCATTAACTCAAAAAAATTAAAGCAAATAAATTAATGTCCATCTCTTTCAAATAAAAAAAAATCATTTAGTTATGTGATATTCTATTTATCAAAAGAGACATTCATTTTTTTTCTGACACGGTTAAACATAAGTTACTTTTACTCTGAGAATTAAGCATACAACTGTGAAAAATCATTGACTTACGTGCTTGACCAATAACATCCTCTCCATCATATATGTGATTAAATGTTTTGTACTGTATGGGAAACAAATAATTTATGTTTTGTTCTGAAAAAAAAAATCAAATAAAAAATGTGGGATACTACATGTGTACAATTCTTCACTATTTTTTTGTTGTTGATTCCCATGAAATAATGAGCACTGGAACCAGTTACATTTAAATAAGGGCTATTCCAGAAAAAAATGTATGGGGGGGTTGGAAGGCACTTTTATTTTTACCCCACCACCCATACATTTTTAATTACTTTCTCCCCCACCACCCATCAAATTAAAAATGCTTTAAATACAACCACCCATCTAAATTAAAATAATTTTTTGCAAGATCTTTGTTTTCAGTTATGTATATCGGTATATACAATAAAATTTTATGTACCAGTACTTTTTTCAAGCACTTGCACTTGCACTTGAAATGAGTGTTCGGATTTTGGTACTTTTTTCAAGCATTTGCACTTTATGTGACGTGAAATGAGCTAGTGTTCGCTTTTTGGATCTATCCAAACCAAGGCCTCGTTTTAAAAGGAAAAAACTTTTTATAATAAATATGATGAAAATCTAAATGTTATGCACAAAACTTTCTTTTTTTTCCCCATTACTTTGAAAAAGGTTAATATTAATCTGTTTGAAAAGAATTTAGAAAGTTTTTTTTTTATATGCATATACATTTTAACAGAAACAACAGATTTGTAAGATTTTACATTCAACTAAATCTTTAGTTCAAGTCCAAAGTTCTTTTGAAAAACAGGCCAAGGGTTCCTGCTATAGCCTATAGGTTAAAATGTACCATTTAGGTCTGTCATACATACCACTGAAAGCCTTATTTAAATTATAATGATTTTTATATATGTTTTGATTTTTATATATGTTTTGACACTTTGTAATCTGTAAAGTTCAAGTAAAACCAAGACATGTTAACATGCACTAGTAGATATTATATTCCTATAATTAATTGAAATGAATATTGTGAATTAAAGCCAATCCTTAAGAGTTGCATGTTAAATTTTTTTTTTTCATTTCCCTTTTTTTTTGGGGGGGGGGGGGGGGGGGGGGGGCACTAAAGTTATGTAGGGCATTGTCTATAATCAGGGTTCGACATTCGCGCTCGTCACCTCGTCATTTCCATCCAGAAATGATTTCGGACGACCTGATTTTTAGTCTAGCTCGCCCAAATGACGACCTGGGACAAGTTGGGAATATTTAATAATGATCTTTAATATTTTAAAATAAACTTCATAAGGCTTTGAAAACATATTTTCCTGTAACAAAACCAACCCTTTCAACATGTTCAAATTGCAGCCGCGTAGATTTTTCTTCCTGCCAAATCTGTGTTCGATCAATCAGCTGATGCAATTTTTACCAAAAGTCTTTATTAAAGTTTTATTTGAGATATAAAATATCTCAACTTAGTCAACAATCACCTTAAATATAAAGAGTAATTATCATCATTGTAACATCTTGCATTTCCCCCTACAACTTTCTGATCACCTGATGATCGTTTTCTGCTGCTAGACAGCCATGTTGGGTGTCCACTGTAATATCACACCTGGTTAATTCAGTCCAGGGTTATTTGAACCCATTTATGTAGGGATTCATGGTAAGTGAAAATGAAAGTTTTAAACTACAAACTTTAGCATTCTGCATGTCTGATTCAATCATCATTCTGCTCATATTTTTGTTTGATAAAATACTGGGAGACATCTTGACATTCCAAAAATGTCTGGTTTACATTTTTTAACACAAAATTGAAAAAACACAACTTCTGTTAATTATCTTAACAAATTTTAAACAATTGCACATTGAGTTTTGTTTCATTTGATATTTTATTTGGACGACCTGAAATTCATTCGGGCAACCTGTGATCATACCAAGGTTGCCCAAATGGCGAGACCAAATTTTGACGAGTGTCGGACCCTGTATAATAGAGAGTAATATTAAAAAAAAAAACGAAGTGTTGATCCCACCTACAAGTAACAACCACAGGTACTTGTTTCTGAAATCTTTTTTTTTAAAAATTCATTTGTATATAATTAATGAGTTAAAAATATATTCGAGATAACACCCAACAGGTTAAGGACTGGTATGTAATTGACATATTATATTGTTACAAACTCATATATCAACATCATTTGACTCCGTATCTGGTATAAAGTAAAATATTCGACTTGCAAAGTTCATAACATTGCTCTTGAATGTTCATTATCAGATACGTTTTTTTTTCTTTCGGTTTAAAAGAAAACGATCTCTTTGATTGTTTGTCATATCATTTAATTTACCAATATAATCACGTTTTATTAAACTGCTGGAAAGAAACTTGAACACAGCCAGGGTCCAGAACACAAATCCTCCACTGTCATTACAGTCATGACACCACATGCTTTTATAATTATCTGCCCTTGCTTCCGGTTTGTTCGATTCTACTTTCACTTTCAATGTAAACACAGTTTTACAACTGTTCAGGACGAGTTTATTATTTTTTAAAATAAATATTAATATTTACTGGTTTATACAAAATGAAATGAAAGAAAGTTCTTTGCAGTTGATTATTTGTGAGGGTAAGTGCAACCACCCATCTAAAAATATATCGGATGAGGACAACCACCCATACAAATTTAATTGCTACAGTCCCCATTACCCATACAAAAATATATGAACTGCCGTCCAACCCTCCCATACATTTTTTTCTGGAATAGCCCTAACCAAGATTTTCAAATATGACCTTTCCATAATTCTTTAATTTTATTCTATAACATGACATAATTAGACTTACTTTGAAGTTTTTGAACTGTGGCATCTGATATTCTGAAGTTTGAGAAATCCCCTAGAATTTCTCCCTCTGTTTTCTCTGACTTTACTTTCGCTTCATCCAGACACTTTTCAGTCTCACCATTAGTTCTATAGTCAGTGTCTATCGGTTCAGATTTGATCTTATCCACATCTACACCATGTCCATTTTCTACGACCGATTTCTCGTCTTTTTTCGATTTTTTCTTTTTCTCTTTGACATCACTGTCCTTTTCCCTGGATGAAGTCCCATCTGTCTTCTTTTCTTTTTTAGATTTCTTTTTCTCTTTGATCACTGTGGCTACCTCTTCAGTTCCATTTTCTTCCATTTGTGAATCTTTCCGATTCTTTTTCTTTTTTTCTTCACTCTGAAATGTATCCTTACAGGTTACAATGGAATCATACAACATGGAATCTGTAACTTGTTTTCAAGAAGTTCAAAAAATAGTTTACATCAGACATTTTTAAAACTACTGATTACTACCAGAAATTTTATAAGGTATGAAAAATGAATGCTTTTAACCAAAGATTAAATTTCATATACTGTAGATTCCTTCTTTTTCGCGAGTACTTATTATCACGAAATGCCTCTGTAACGTCAAATAGCGAGAACAATATTTCGCGAGTGAATGGTTGATCAGGAGATTTTACACAGATTTCATCACCATAAAAATAAAAGCCTGTAATTTTATTTCACAAGTGGTGCTCGTAACGAAATTACACAATAATTAATTCCTTGCATATATTTAGAATCTACAGTGATTATTTCATATATCAAATATGCTTAGTTCCACCCCCTTTGTTTTGTTCTCATCCCTCCCCCCCCCCAAACAAAAACACAATTAAATCAAAGCAAAGCAAGCTTAATGTAGCAAGAAAGGGCAATTTCTGATACAATTAACCCTTTGGATCAAGTTACTGTTATGAAAATATATATTTATCACAAAGATGAAAAACTTTTCATTTCAGAAAAACTTTCCTTTTCATTGGAGGTCAACTAGCAGAGCTTCATAAAGCCAGCGTGATATTAAGTCTAACCTGAAGCACTATATAAATATAAAACCTCTAAACTGATTTTACCTTTGCATCCTTGTCTTTCTTCTTCTTCTCTTTTGTACTTTTTTCTTTAACCTATGAAACAATTATAAATATTTTAAATACATTTTAAAATTTCTTTTCATAGATAAAACTACAAATTTATAGTAAAATACTTTTTCTTATTATAACATTTGATGTGCCAGGAAAACATCAGATTCAGACTCAGTTCCATTACGCCATCTTCACAAACGTCTAAAGGGAGCATGGAATTGTATGTTTCTCATAATCTTGTCAAGTCAAATACTGAAATCGAGGGGGGGGGGGGCTGTATGTTAAATGTCAAATATTTAGGGAAGCATTTGGGTAACTTATGGGAGGCTGTATCAGAGCTCCAGATAAGGTGAGTATTTGCAGAAATATGCATTGAATTTCACAAAATGCGCATTTAAAATTAAAATACAGTGTACAATTACGCATTAGCAATCATAGATAAGCATTATACCACAAAAGTACTGAGTACAACAGGTTGAAGAATACAAGTATGACTTAATTTCTGATATGAATTGAGGTTAACTCAGTGTTTGATTTTTCTCAAAACGAAGTACAGATTAAAAAGTGTTTAGTGACCAGGAATATTCTGGTAATGGCAATGATGATCTCCATTCCCAGAGGAAGAATCAGAGAATTAGATTATAATCAATTTTTATAAATAGAAAGACTTTGCACTAGGCATAATTTTTTGATTATGGATTCATAACCAATTTTTCATTTATCTCAACTTGTCATATTAAAGCAGATCCAAAATCAAAATAAAGGTCAAAATCTTTATCTGCATTGATTTGAAAATCAGGGAGTAAATACACTTTGGGGTAAAAAATTATCTGGAGCTCTGCCCTAAATATTTGACATTTAATATACAGTGTATGTTAAATGTCAGTTATTTAGGGAAGCATTTGGGTAACTTATAAACTGATCTTAACATATTGGTTTATTACAAGGTGTGGTATCTACAATGACTGTTAGATAAATAAAACAAACACTACTCTTCCAACTAATTTTGACACTTACATAAGATATATATTTTAATTTTCATTTTACAATTACACCGTATTAATATGCCGATTTGTGATATGGTATACCTGATGGCAGCATCATTACATGGTCGCTGACTACATGTACTTAGATCTCGGTTTTTAAATATGTATGTACTATTTTAAACATATCAATAAGGTACATGCATATTTCTAAATCAAGACCCAAGTACCAGAGTTGGTGACTGCATGGATTCTAGATTTTAGTTATTTAAAAGTATTAAAAAGATCGCTTACCTTTTTAACTTTTGGAATAGGTTTATCAACTGTATCTTCTACCTTTACTTTGACCATTTTCACTCAAAAATGTAGATTTTTAATCAAAAACAAACTTCACTCTTCTGTTGCGTGTACACCGACCTCGTGTATTCGTTTTGTTTCGAATAAAAAGCACTCCGATCCCGATGCAAAACTTAGAAGTGACGCACGGATCTAAACACTGGTGGGTGGAGAGGGGACCTTGGCCTCCCCTTTTTATGCAAAAAATTACATTTTTTTTTACAATATATCTAAAATATGTTTATTTTGGTAATGTACTCGATAAACATTTACAAGGTGCATTGTTATACCCTACTACATGTATACACTGACCTTATATAATTTCTTACTTTAAAAAGTCCAACAGTTCGACTGTTTTCACCGACTGTCGGTCCAGGAACTAATAGACTGTTATGAAAGGCTGCCCCCGCTGACGTCAAATGGCACTAAAATAAGTTTATCTTTTCATCTGATAAACACTGGTAAAGGAGTAATATCTCAGCGAGTTGTCGTAGGGACTAAAATTTTGGTCGTGTCCTGACTAGGACATTGTGGACACCAAACCAAAATTTTTAGCCCCTTCGACATCTCGCTGAGATTAGTCAAGGAGTATAACAAAACAGTTGTTGACAGGAGTCTCGGGAAACAGTCGACCTGTTGGACCCGTAACCGGGGGCCAACAGCCCTGGGCAACAGCTTGCACTCCGGTCCAACAGATCGACTGTTTCCCTCTACACCAGTCAACAACTATATAGAACCAATAAGTTTTTCAATCTGATGTTGAAAAACGCATTCTGCAAACACGGTCTCTGATGCTGCACTAAATTTTAACTTTTCTTCACGTTGCTTCCATACCCACCTGATGGAGGTCATTTCTGCTTCCTACTCTGTCCAGGCCTCCAGTGAGTTGCCGTTTCTCAGTCACGACAGTGCTTGTTGCTCCAATGACCCACAAGGCCCTCCAAGTTGTTCCACAATTTGATGACATCCAACTCCAATACTCTCCAGCCTGACTGCTAATCGTCTGCAACCAAATCTTACTACCTGCTTATCTCTCCCTCGTAGGCTTCTTTGTTGCCCTCCCAAGGCACTGTCAAGTTATAGCAGATGAACCAGCCGAGAAGATGGAGACCAAATACCAATATTGATATCAGGACTCTGGTAGCTGCCATCTCCCGCGGGAACTGCTTACGACCATTGATGTCTGCTTGGAACTTCCAGTCTCTAGTAGTAACCAATAGTCCCCTCCTTCCACGCCAACCGCAAGATTGTTTTCACCCGCCCTTTCAGTAGAAGTTGGCGAATTTTAAACCTCCTTCGTACTTAGATTTCCTCCTTACCTTTTCCAGCGCGGCTGCATGAACGGAAAGATCTAACCTTCGAGATCATGTCTCCATGTGTATCTTCCATCCGTCAAAGCTACTGCACTTGAAGACAGAATGTGTACCAGGTTGGCAGGAATGCCACAAAATTTGCTGTCGGGAAGCCCATCATGCTCCAAGTATTTATTGTAGACTCAGATAGGTCTAGAGAAAATTTGTATGTGCAAATTGAAAATATACTTTACAATATTAAAAACAAGATGTGTTTGTGAAATACCGATGCCCCCGCATGGCAACATAGCAAAGATTTAGCTGCAAAACTATAGCTCTCCGAAAAATATATTTTTACAGACCGGAGAGCTACAGTGCCAGCCATTGAAAAAACTGTATATTTATTGCGGTTTAAAACGCATAGAGAAATCAATCAAGAAACAGCGCACTTTTTTGTGCGCAATGAATGTACAGTTTTTCCAATGGGTGGCACTGTAGCTCTACGGTGTGTCAATTATGTTTTTTCCGGAGAGCTACAGTTCTGCAGCTAAGCGAAGATTAAGCTTTTCTGTCTGTCCGCAAAAAACTTTAACCATGCCCATAACTTTTGATTTTGTGGAGCTGTGACTTTCATGTTCATTTTCACATGTGTATTTTTTTGTGACAATACCTTTCTTTGACTACCACCAAATTTGAGCTTTTGACCTTGGAGTTTGACCCACTTTTTCTACAAAAAGTCAAAACTTTTACTTTGGCCATAACTTTTGAATGGTAGATAACAGTACTTTTATACTTCATATATGTTTTTTATGGCAAGACCTTTTAGTGGATACCAACATCCTTGACCTTTTGATCTTGACCTGTGAGATTTCCTTACTTATGAAAAAATTTTAACCTTGGCCATAACCTTTGAACGGTAAGGGCCAGGGCTTTTTACTTCACAGGTGTAATCCTTGTGAGAAGACCCTTCATTGGATACCAAGAACTTTGACCTTGGAATTTGACCTACTTTAAAAAAAACAAACCTTGACCATAACTTTTAAAGGATTAGGGCTACATTTGATGTCAAGAACTTTGATCCTTTGATCTTGACCTTGGAGTTTGTCTACTTTTTAAAATTTTTAACCTTGGCCATAACTTTTGAACACTTAGGGCTAGGGCTTTCGTACTTCAAATTTATATTATTCTTTGTAGCAAGACCTTTCATTGCATACCAATAACCTTTTGACCTTGACCTTGGAGATCTCCATACTTATGAGAAAACTTTAACATTGTCCATAACTTTTGAACGGTAAGGGCAAGGGCTTTCATACTTCACATATGTAATCCTTGTGAGAAGACCTTTCATTGGATTTAAGGAACTTTGATCTTGGAGTTTCATTCACTTTAAAAAAAACAATCCTTGACAATAACTTTTGGAGGGTTAGGGCTAGCGCTTTCATACTTTACATATTTAATCCTTGTGACAAGACCTTTCATTTGATATCAAGAACTTTGACCCTTTGATTTTGGACTTTGACCTTTTTAAAAATTTTAAACTTGACCATAACTTTTGAACAGTGGGGTTAGGGCTCCTATACTTCACACATGTATAGATCTTTTTTAAGAAACCAACAATTTTGACCCTTAGACCTTTGAGTTTGACCTACCTTTCAAAATCTTATCCTTGGCTATAACTTTAGAACAGTTGTTGCTAGGGCTTCAGTGTTTCACAAACACTTCATGTTTTTATTTCAAAACCCTTACCAAATAAAACGAATTTTACTTTCTTGTACATGTTTTTCAATTGTTAAATTCAAGAACCTTTTTAGACTGGTTATTTTTTTTAAGGAAAATCTCCACTTATAGAGAATATCGTAGACTAGCGCCATAAATCAAAATTATTAAGGTATACAGCAGAGTTTGTACATTTGGAATTAATTGTCAATGTTTTCGAAAGCAATGGAATGACCCCTTAGCGCAACCTCAAAATACGATGTCGTATTTCTACATTGAATCCAACGGAGACAAATGAAATTTTATACTATTTATAGTATGCTATCCAATTTTCACAAATGTGGTGGGAAACAATTGAAAAATTTACCTCATTCTGTCAATTTTCTGAGATCTTGATCTTTATAAACTTATTTGATTTCAGATTCTGTAGAGAGTGTATAAAGAGACACCGGAGAGGGGTGATTTTCCCCGAAATTCAAAATCTTGAACTTTAACTTTTGGAAAAACTCGCATAAACTTTAACAGCGTTGAGAAATACAAAATGACGGTAAAATGGATTCAGCAGCAAGCTGACTTAAAATTGTAGCTTGTGATAGTCCAGGATCAAAATAACCTTTTGCTTATCATTGTATAAATGAATAAACTTCATTACAAAATCAAAACAAAGTTGAGACTTAAGCAAATGTCTTGGTTAAACAGCAAAGTTACGCGTTCATTCGCGAAAGTTTCGCGTTATTACGAAAGCCCATTGAGTTCATTTTCGTAGGTTAACAAAACTTATTATTTCGCATTATTATGCGAAACCTTTGCGAATAAACACGTACCTTCCGTGCTATAACGCGTAAGTCTCACTTTATAACGTACGAAAGCCTATTAGGATCAATCTAGAGAGAAAAAAAAAATTAAAAGGCGTTATAACGCGTTTCGAAAAGGCGTAATAACGCGAAAAAAGGCATTATAACGCCTTTTGAAAAGGCGTTATTACGCCTTTCCATTCCAAAAGGCCTTATTACGCCTTTTTAAAAGGCGTTATAATGCCTTTCTAAAATTTCCATTCTAGAAGGCGTTATTACGCCTTTCCAAAAGGCGTTATAACGCCTTTTTAAAAGGCGTTATAACACTTTTCCAAAAGGCGTTATTACGCCTTTTACTTTCAATACATAAGCCCAACCGAGGAGGGGGGGGGGTGCAGAAATCGTACCTTTGGGACATGGATTTCACAATTAGATATAGAACTAATTTCTCAAAAAAATAATTTAAAGAGATAGCAATTAGATTTCCTGGAAAAAAGATTTTTAAATGCGTCATATATTTTCAATGTTGAACCAACTAAGTCTTTTTTTCATACCAGACACACCTCTACCAAGGGTCATTGATTTCAATTGCTCATTATACCCATGCAAATAGTTGCCTGCTTTTTTCCAAGAAGAGAGAAAAATATCTTCAAATGACATAAATTTTAATACATGGCAAGCAAAGCTCCAAGATTAATCTGCCTATATTCTAGATCTTCACAAGTACAGGGTTGCCTTCTCTTAATACGAATGCAAACAGTTGTCAGTGAGATGTGCAGGAATATAGAGAATTGCATAAATAAAGACGGTTATAATTAAAACTTTATATATTTATTAACATAAGATAACGCCTTTTCCTTTTCATGTAGGTCAGTAATACGAGTGCGAATGGGGTAAACCCCCCTCCAAACATACACACTTTTGAGGAAAAGTCTTGCTACAGTTTAAATATTATAATTAACTATTGGTTTCTTGGTTCCTGAACATTTTGTTGCAGTATGTAAAACTGTGGCAAATTATTGCATTTAAATAAAGTTTTACCGAGTATTTCCCCCACGAATTTGGCCAGTGGAGTGTGTGTGTGTGTGGGGGGGGGGGGGCTATTAAAAGCACGGGCCTGTTAAATGCATAATAATGGTTATTCAAAAAGCATAATAACTTTTCTGGAAAGGCATAATAACGCCTTTTAGAAAGGTGTAATAACATCTTTTAGTAAGGCGTAATAACGCCTTTTAGGAATGCGTATAACGCAATTTAGAAAGGCGTAATAACGCTTTTTAGAAAGGCGT